AAATTTACAGCTTGAACTTCTTTTCCATGTAAGGACCTCATCTCACTTCAGAACTTGTTTCTCCAAATCATTGAGAAACCAGGTGATTTTGCTTTCCTCCTGTGTGTATTTTCAGTAAGGCTGATATCACAATCACAAATTAAGTGGAATTTAAAGAATGAAGTCAGGCGAAAATCTAATTTAAATGGTCTGTGAAAGTAGAATAGCTTCGGCGGCCTTGCGGCGAGCGGGCCCGAACGGCGGGCACGCGGCGGGGGGGCGGGGCCTCTGGGGGCCGGGCTGGAGGGGCACGGACCTCCGAGGTGCGGGGCTGGCCGGGGCGCAGCGTTCCCGCTCCCGGGGCCGTGGACCTCGGGGAGAGTGTGGCGCGGTGCAGATTGAAATTCAAGAATTATAAACCAGATGCAGCAGATTCTTGACATAGAGAACAAAGCCCATGATACAATAGGAGCTTCTCCTTCTGAGGCCGAGCTTCACGAATTAATGGAATGAATTAACATCATGGTGGGATTACTTACACAGAAGCTGGACAGTCTGGAGAAATGTAACTTCCATTTTCCTAGTTTGACTCAGAATTATGAAGGACAACTACAAACTCTGAAAGCTCAATTTTCTAAACTAACGAATAGATTTGAAAGACTGAAATTACACTAAATAAAACATTGTATGTCCATGGCTCCTTGATCATATGTTAATTGACCATATATGTTTGGGTTAATGTCCGGAGTCTCTATTCTGTTCCACTGGTCTGTCGCTCGGTTCTTGTGCAAGTACCAAACTGTCTTGATTACTGTGGCTTTGTAGTCGAGCTTGAAGTCGGGGAGCGAAATACCCCCCCACTTTATTCTTCCTTCTCAGGATTGCTTTGGCTATTCGAGGTCTTTGGTGTTTCCATATGAATTTTTGAACCATTTGTTCCAGTTCATTGAAGAATGCTGTTGGTAATTTGATAGGAATTGCATCACATCTGTATATTGCTTTGGGCAGGATGACCATTTAGACAATATTAATTCTTCCTAGCCAAGACCATGGGATGAGTTTCCATTTGTTAGTGTCCTCTTCAATTTCTCTTAAGAGTGTCTTATAGTTTTCAGGGTATAGGTTTTTCACTTCCTTGATTAGGTTTATTCCTAAGTATTTTATTCTTTTTGATGCAATTGTGAATGGAATTGTTTTCCTGATTTCTCTTTCTGTTCGTTTATCGTTAGTGTATAGGAAAGCCACAGATTTCTGTGTGTTAATTTTGTATTATGCAACGTTGCTGTATTCCGATATCAGTTCTAGTAGTTTTGGAGTGGAGTGTTTAGGGTTTTTTATGTACAGTATCATGTCGTCTGCAATTAGTGACAGTTTAACTTCTTCTTTACCAGTTTGAATTCCTTGTATTTCTTTGTTTTCTCTAATTGCTGTAGCTAGAACCTCCAGTACTATGTTGAATAACAATGGGGAGAGTGGGCATCCCTGTCTTGTTCCTGATCTCAGCAGAAAAGCTTTCAGCTTCTCACTGTTCAGTATGATGTTGGCTGTGGGTTTACCATATATGGCCTTTATTATGTTCAGGTACTATCCCTCTAAACCCATTTTGTTGAGAGTTTTTAATCATTGAATGGATGTTGAATTTTGTCAAATGCTTTTTCAGCATCTATGGAGATGATCATGTGGTTTTTGTCTTTCTTCTTGTTGATGTGGTGGATGATATTGATGGATTTTTGAATGTTGTACCATCCTTGCATCCCTGAGATGAATCCCACTTGGTCATGCTGTATGATCCTTTTGATGTACTTTTGAATTCGGTTTGCTAATATTTTGTTGAGTATTTTTGCATCTACGTTCATCAGGAATATTGGTCTTTAATTTTCTTTTTTGGTGTGGTCTTTGCCTGGTTTTGGTATTAGGGTGATGTTGGCTCCATAGAATGAGTTTGAGAGTATGCCCTCCTCTTCTATTTTTTGGACAACTTTAGGGAGAATAAGTATTATACCTTCCTGCATGTCTGATAAAATTCTGAGGTAAATCCATCTGACCCAGGGGTTTTGTTCTTGGGTAGTTTTTTGATTACTACTTCAATTTCTTTGCTGGTAATTGGTTTGTTTAGATTTTGTTTCTTCCTTGGTCAGTCTTGGAAGGTTGTATTTTTCTAGGAAGTTGTATATTTCTTCTAGGTTTTCCAGCTTGTTAGTGCATAGGTTTCCATAGTAGTCTCTAATAATTCTTTGTATTTCTGTGGGGTCCGTTATGTTTTCTTTCTTGGTTCTGATTCTGTTGATGTATGTCGATTTTCTTCTTCTCTTAATAAGTCTGGCTAGAGGCTTATCTATTTTGTTTACTTTCCCAAAGAAGCAGTTCTTGGTTTCACTGATTTTTTTCCATTGTTTTATTCTTCTCAATTTTATTTATTTCTTCTCTGATCTTTATTATGTCCCTCCTTCTGCTGATTTTAGGCCTCATTTGTTCTTCTTTTTCCAATTTTAATAATTGTGACATTAGACTATTCATTTGGGTTTGTTCTTCCTTCTTTAAATATGCCTGGATTGCTATATACTTTCCTCTTAAGACTGCTTTCGCTGCGTCCCACAGAAGTTGGGGCTTTGTGTTATTGCTGTCATTTGTTTCCATATATTGCTGGATCTCCATTTTGATTTGGTCATTGATCCACTGATTGTTTAGGAGCATGTTGTTAAGCCTTCTTGTTTTTGTGGGCCTTTTTACTTTCTTTGTACAATTTATTTCTAGTTTTATACCTTTGTGGTCTGAAACGTCGGTTGGTAGAATTTCAATATTTTTTAATTCACTGAGGCTCTTTTTGTGGTCTAGTATGTGGTCTATTCTGGAGAATGTACCATGTGCACTTGAGAAGAATGTGTACCCTGCTGCTTTTGGGTGTAGAGTTCTGTAGATGTCTGCTGGGTCCTCCTGTTCTAGTGTGTTGTTCAGTGCCTCTGTGTCCTTATTTTCTGTCTGGTGGATCTGTCCTTTGGTGTGAGTGGTGTTTTGAAGTCTCCTAGAATGAATCCATTGCATTCTATTTCCTCCTTAAATTCTCTTAGTAGTTGTTTCACGTATGTTGGTGCTCCTGTATTGGGTGCATATATATTTATAATGGTTATATCCTCTTGTTGGACTGACCCCTTTATCATTATGTAATGTCCTTCTTTATCTCTTGTTACTTTCTTTGTTTTGAAGTCTGTTTTGTCTGATACTAGTACTACAACACCTACTTTTTTCTGCCTGTTGCTTGCATGAAATATCTTTTTCTATCCCATGACTTTTAGTCTGTGCATATCTTTGGTTTTGAGGTGAGTCTCTTGCAAGCAGCATATAGATGGGTCTTGTTATTTTATCCATTCAGTGAGTCTATGTCTTTTGATTGGTGCATTCAGTCCATTTACATTTGGTTTGATTATCAATAGGTATGCACTTACTATCATTGCACACTTTAGATTCGTGGTTACCAAAGGTTCAAGGTTAATTTCCTTACTATCTAAGAGTTTAACTTAACTCATTTAGTATGCTGTTACAAACACAATGCAGAGGTTCTTTTCTGTTTCTCCTCCTTTTTCTTCCTCCTCCATTCTTTATATATTAGGTATCATATTCTGTATTCTTTGTCTATCCCTTGATTGACTTTGGGGATAATTTAATTTTGCATTTGCTTAGTAATTAGCTTTTCTACTTTCTTTACTGTGGTTTTATTACCTCTGGTGAAAGCTATTAAACCTTAGGAACACTCCCATCTATAGCAATCCCTCCAAAATAAATTGTAGACATGGTTTGTGGGAGATAAATACTCTCTGCTTTTGCTTCTCTGGAAATTGTTTAATCCCTCCTTCAAATTTAAATGATAATTTTGTCAGATAAAGTGTCCTTGGTTCCAGGCCCTTCTGTTTCATGGCATTAAATACATCATGCCACTCCCTCCTGGCCTGTAAGGTTTCTGCTGAGAAGTCTGATGTTAGCCTGATGGGCTTTCCTTTGTATGTGATCTTATTTCTGCTTCTGACTGCTTTTAACAGTCTGTCCTTATCCTTTATCTTTTCCATTTTAATTACTATGTGTCTCAGTGTTGTCTTCCTTGGGTCCCTTGTGTTGGGAGATCTGTGGATCTCCATGGCCTGAGAGACTATCTCCTTCCCCAGAACTGGGAAGTTTTCAGCAACTACCTCCTCAAAGACACTTTCTATCCTTTTCTCTCTCTCTTCTTCTGGTATCCTTATAATGTGAATATTGTTCCATTTTGATTGGTCACACAGTTCTCACAATATTCTTTCATTCTAAGAGATCCTTTTTTCTCTCTGTGCCTCAGCTTCTTTGTATTCCTCTTCTCTAGTTTCTAATTCATTTATCATCTCCTCTACTGTATCCAGCCTGCTTTTAATACCCTACATCGTGCTCTTAAACGACTGCATCTCCAAACTGAATTCATGCCTGAGTTCATGGATGTCTTTCTGTACCTCCATTCGCATGTTGATGATTTTTATGTTGAACTCCCTTTCAGGAAGAGTCACAAGGTCCATATCATTTAAATCTTTCTCAGGAGTTGTATTAATAATTTTACTCTGGACCAGGTTTCTTTGGCATTTCATATTTGTATATGGCACCCTCTAGTGTCCAGAAGCTCCATTCTGGAGCTGCTCAGCCCCTGAAGCAATGTCAGGGGTTGGAGGGGAGCAATCCTGGTGCCTGCGGGGAGGAAAGAGCTGTTCCCCGCTTCCCAGCTGCTATGCCTGTCTCCACTGCCTGAGCCAGTGGGCCAAGCACACAGGTATAAGCTTCTGTCTCAGAGAAGATCCCTGCTTTCCACAAGCTTCCAGAATCCCAGTCTCCCCAGGAACTCTGCCTGTCCCAGCTTTCCAACCCTGTAATCAGAAGAGTATGATGAAAGCACCATGAAATGTAGGTTTGTGCTCCCAGAGCAGATCTCCAGAGCTAGGTATTCAGCAGTCCCAGGCCTTCCATTCCCTCCCTGCTCCATTTCTCTTCCACCTGCCGGTGAGCTGGGAATGGGGGAAGAGCTTGGATCCCACCGAGCCACAGCTGTGGTACGTTACTCTGTTCAGTAAGGTCTGCTCTTTTCTCCAGGTGTATGCAGTCTGGCGCCGTCCTCTTTCCTGTTGCTCTCTCAGGATTAGTTGCACCAACTATATTTTCTAATTGTATATGGTTTTAGAAGGAGCCTCTCTCTCTCCTCTCATGCCACCATCTTTAATCTTCTTCTAGAATAGTCTGATTTTCATATCCCTGAATGTGCACAGCATTGGCCAGATTGGAACAGATATTGATGGTCTTGCTGGATCAAAAGCAAATCACAAAGAATGCTTTTTGAGGTAAGGGAGTAGGAATCTGCTTGTTTCCTGTATGAGCCCTGACAGTGTGGTCTGCAGAATACAGCGATCTGCCCAGGTCATGCAATCTGATATCCACAAAATTACAGGAGGCCCAGGCCCTGCAAGATAGGGATCCCTTGAAAAAACCCTGACAACACTTCTGTTCACTTGTTAAGGCTGGCCCTTTCAATCCATGTTTTTTATGTAAGGACATTTCAAAGGGTGGGTAGCAAATTTATTAAATGAACTAAATTTAATGCTATAGAAATAAGAAATGGCTACTTTTCTTTCAACCTTTGCTTCCCACATGCTCCATCAGATGTCTCTTCCCTTGCTCTGTGTGACATTAGGGCAGACCCTGTGATTTTCTAGTAACTTTGCTTATAATAACCGCTTCATGTTGTTGCTGAAGACCCACCATCAGGTGTGAAGTTGTGCATCCTAGTCTATATTAGAACTTCAATGTTGCATCTCATTTAAGAGTTTCTTCTCCCCTGGTCAAGTCTGACCTGCAACCTAGAATTCTCCAGGTGGAGAGCAGGAATGGTTTACTCTTTTGGCTTTCTTTGCTAGCCTACTCCAACCCTCCATCTCTTCCCTGCACCTTCTAGTGTCAGGACAGGGAAGAGGTAGTGTAAAGGGACAGGAGTCCTTTTGCTTGTCTGGAGCTGTTTATCCTTCCCTGAGACACTGATGTCCTTTGTGGGGCAAGGGTTCTCAGTGGGCATATTTGTGCCTTCTTTAGATATCCTGAAAGGACACCTGCATTTCATATTGTTTAGAGATCCCTTTCCAATTCCTACACTGCTTGTTCAACTTATAGCCTCTCAGTACCAGGGTCTCCTCATCTGAGGGGGCAGTCACTCTTGGACAAGGAACCTTCAAGATGGCTCATGCCTTCTGTGATACCCACCTGTCCCTTCTGCCTTATCAATGATAAGAGTGCAGGCTGGCTATTATCCCCAGCTCTCTCTGCCCTCTCAAGCTCTGAGAATAAATGTCTTTTTATCCTAGAACTCTCATCATCCTGCTGCTTCCCTAGTGGAACCAAGGTGGGTCCATTAGGTTTTGCATCCAACTAAGGAGTAAGATAGGTAACGGACCACTCCTACATCTCTAATCTCTTATGGGGGTTTCATCTTGGAAACTGCTTTTACTTGTCTAGGGCAGGTGGGAGAGAGGGAACTATAGAACTCTTCACCTATGAATTTATTCCCACTGGTAACTGTAGTCTTCTGTTCTGATAGCCTTGATGGGCAGTGAAATGAAGGTCAATGGACTGTTGTTCGATTTTTCATAGGACTTGCAGAGTTGTATCTGGCACTTCTCCTTTAGAATTTGTGTTTCTTAATGCCTATTCTTGAGCTTTGAAATTCTATGATAATGAAAACATCCATTTCAACATGTCATTATGTAGGCAGTCAGAAAATGAGAAACATTTCTGCAGTAAAAATAAAACCATGTAGTAGCTGCCCTCCTTGGAGCCCACCAGCTTTGCTCCAGAGCAAGCAAGCGAGCCAGCCCCTCCCTTTAACCTCTCAAGTTCAGACACGCCCTTGGTTGCCCAGTAATTACCCATTGACATGGAGATGAATTTCTCTCCATGCCTGAGGATATGCAAATGCACCAAAGCCAGGTGAGATATTCTGGAAATATTTCAATTTTACCTAAAAACGTTCAGATTTGGGACAAGGTCAGGAATCACATTGGAAGAAGGAAGATACTGAGAGGAAAGCTGTGTTACATGTGACTGGCAGACAGACAAAAACTATAAAGTTTGGAAAGGATTCTGCAAGAAAGATAATGGGAAATAAGTACTCTTCTCCACCCCTGCTCTTATCTTTCAAACATCCTCAAGGGTATTCCAGTCTGTGTTAGTCTAAGTCCTTCAAGAAGCAGACACAAAGGATCTGAAGTCCAAGAAATTTTAGAGAAAATGCCTATTAGGGAGGAAGAGGAAGAATACTGGGGTTCGGAAGTCAGGAAGAGCTGTCAGATTGTCATGTATAAGCTTTGTGAAAGAGAGAGGGCAGGGGTGAAGGCTGGGTGAAGGTTGGTTACACTACACTGCAGTGTGCAGTCCTAACTAAGTTCAACAAGGCCATCGAGTTGTTCTTGAGCTTGTCACCCATCTGAACTGTCCTGGATATCCCAGGAAGAGACCTGCCCTGGTGCCCCTGCCATCCATAATCATGAGCTGGAAGCAGCCTGTGGGAAGCATGGTCCCAGTGAAGGAAGGGAAGGATTTCAGAGCACAGAAGCTGGAGCTGCCGGTCAGTTACACCTCCTGCTCATCAGAGATACAGGAAATGCATTTGCAAGGCCACCTCACACCCTAAGCAATAAACGAATGAGTGAGTAAACAAACGGATGAATGTTTTCCTTATTTGTAACCATTATGTAACCATTCAATCTTTTTCCTTCCTTGCCAACTACCCTGAAATAGAACTATACACCCACTGTTATTTCCTCTATACTTTCTATTCATTTCTTCACCCACAGCAAGATGGATTCTCCTCCCAAATGCCCACTGAAACTGCTCCAGTCAAGATAGCCGCTGCCTTCCCAAGAGCCACATTTCAAGGATGAACTGAATTGAGGCCCAGAAACAAAGCCAGTCAGAAATGATAGTTGTGCAAACAGGAATGTGGGAACAGTAAAAAAATCTGAGGTAGGGTAAAGGGATATAAATACTTGAAAGTTATGTAAAAAGATAGGGGAAAGAAAAGAAGGAGGCAGAGAGGTTAAAGCAAAGTGAAATTTAAAAATAACGTTCAAGATACTAAAAAATCTTTTTAGAGAGACAGCCCTGGAAAACCCAAGAACTTCTTGGGAAAAATAATCAATCAAATCTAATCTTCTGGCTGCTTTCAGATTTGCCAGAAGAGGTCAGCAAATACATTAATGTCAATATTTGCTTCCCCTAGAGGCATGATAGTTGGTTAGGAAGGAATTTTTGCCTCTTTACTTGAAGTTTATAAAGGGCTTCCATTTTCCAGACTTCTGTATTTCTCAGTCCAGCTTCCTAGAGTTTAGCTGCTGTCTGTGCTCCTAGTAAAGGGATGGATCAGTTATATGTTTCATGAAATGACAGATCTTCAATTTAAATTTGTATACTTCACCTGGTAAGTCTGAAAAAACTAATTAAAATTTCTGTAATGTTAGCCAATGCAAGTAGACAAAAGAAAAAATTCAAGAAGAAAATATTGAAAGAAGACAAAATTAACCTTAATTTCAAATAATGTGATTGAACACCTGGAAAATTCAAGAAAACAAACTACAAAGAATAAGCTAAATCAGTAATGTGGCTGGGCACAAAGTTTACATTCAGAAATCAAAAGTGTAAGGCTGGGGGCACTGATGGGAGGAGTGAGCACGTCGGACACTGACGTACCAAAGTCCCCGGCTGCTGCCCCTCCGAACCTGAAAAATGTGCCTTAGGCTAGCCAATCCTCATGCTGCTGTACATCTAAGCTCTGCCTCCCCGCACCTTCTTTAAAAATTCGCAGCCTGTCTAGTTACGTGCGAATTCCCCAGATTCCATTTCTATAGACTGGGGAAATCTCGCCCGGGTATTTGCGTTCAAATAAACTACCTGACCCTTTGTTGCCTCTCTTCGCCTGCTTATTTCAGCTAGAATTTATCTTACAAAAAGCCATCATAAATATATAAAAATATACAACAAGAGAACGTAATGGAAAATAACCCTTTTACAAAAGCAACAATAAAGAAATAAAACTTTGCTGAGAATAAACTAAGTTCCAGATTTGCATAAAGAAAACTTCAAAATGCTGCTGAGAAACTCAAAAGAAGACAGGAACAAATGGAAAAGTGGGCTTAACAGTATGAAGATATCAATTCTCCCCTAAATTTATCCATGAAAATTATAAAATACCAATTAAAATTATCAACCTTTTTTTCAGCTAAACAAGCTGATTAAAATTTGTATATGGAAATAAAAGCAAGCAAAAATTAGTCAAAAATATTCTGAAAGAGAAGAGCAATGAGGAGGAACTACGCTTACAGAACAGACTGTAAAGCCATAATTAAAACACTCAGTACTGTCATTTCGAAAAGGTGGATTATTCAATATATGGTCAGACAACTCAGAGACCATTTAGGAAAAAAATTACCTTAAATCCATCCCTACATATATTACCCCAGGATAAATTTTAAATGCGCTAAAGGTTTAAAGGTAAAAAATAAACCATACTTACCCGGCAGCGGAGATGCCATGATCACGAAGGTTGTTCTCCCAGGGCGAGGCTGATCCCCTGCACTCCGGATGTGCTGACCCCTGCGATTTCCCCAAATGTGGGAAACTCGACTGCATAATTTGTGGTAGTGGGGGACTACCACTGCGTTCGTGCTTTCCCCTATAAAATAAATAAATAAATAAATAAACCATACATTTAAATAAGAAATAAAAGAATGATATGGGAATGGAAAAGCATTTCTAAGTATGACATAAGCATAGAAGTCAAGAAAGAAAAGATCGAAAACTCTGACTTTATTAAGAATTTTAATTAAGAATACCACCTGCAACAAAGTAAGTAGACAAGTGACAAACTGGGAAATATATTTGCAGTGCATAGCATCAGAGGCTGATTTGCCTAAAAATAAAAGGCTCCTACAAATCAGTGAGAAAAAGTACAACAACCAGATAGAAAAAATGGGCAAAAAATAAGAACACATGGGAATATTTTCATCTTCACTCATAAGGAGATTAGTATAAATTAAAACTACATTAAGATGCTATGCCAGGTATTAAATTAACAAATATCAAAAAGTTTTATGACACTCTGTGGGAAAAATAATGTAAAATGCAGTAACCTATATAAAGGGCAATTACATAAAATCTATCCAAATGACAAATGCTTGTACCCTTTAACCTACCAATTCCTCTTCTAGGAATCATCAGATATTCTGGCACAGGAAATTCAGATATTCTGACATAGTGACATGATAGATATACTTGGTTATTAAACGCATCATTGATTGTAAAAGCAACAGATCAATAATAACTCAAACATTGATCAGTGGGGTAAATAAGGGCACATCCATACCGTGGAGTAAACCGGAACCATTTGGAAAGGAAAAGGAAAAAGAGTGATCCCTTATGTGTGGATATGTAATGATCTGCAAGACAGTCTGTCAGGGGTAGGACATGCATTTAATAAACTGCCTTTGAACCAAAAAAAAAGTTTATGTGAATTTGCTTAAAATACCTCTACAAACATGCACAAGAATATTGATAACATTTGGTGCCTGTCAGAAAGGGGTAATCAGATGGCTGGGGGACAGATAGGTAGAAAAATATTTCAAAATATTTTTTTTAGTTTGGACCATATGCTTTGATGCTTTAGTACTTGAGTATAGTTATATCTTCCTTTGATATTCTGGCATTTTTTTAAAATTCTGCATTTGGGATATTCTACAACCCTAAATCTGTAAGAATGCTAATTAGTATATATATAATAAGATCTTATTCATCCAGAATTCAACTAGAGAATTACTGCACTTTTCTAGAATCTGGCTAAGATCAAGAAAAGAGCAAAATAAGCCATCCAGCAGGCAAAACAGATATCCCAAAGTCCATGTACAAAATAAAGCTTAGACACCTCACTCACTCAGGCTTCCTTTAATCTCTTTATTTTATTTATTTATTGGAGACAATTATATCAAGCTTGATAAAATGATTTAGTCATAGGAAGCAGATAGGAAGGGGAAGGGCCTACCGAAAGTACTGAGCAGTGTTTTAGCTCACAATCTGAGAGGCATGTCAGAGAGGAAAAATCCTACAAAGCCAATCCAAGGACCTCAGACAGTAACACATGGGTTCATTAGGGCAAGAGCAAATCTTTTCAGAGATCATTTCTGTATGATTGTGACAGCCCAGAGGTTGTCTTGAGGGACCAAAGTCACATTCAGGTATGCTTGGGAGCTCTCTCAAGACTGTTTTCATCCCTAATGTTTAAATTTAAATTGAAAAACTTTTGATGATGAAGAGTTTAAAACTTAGACTCTCTGGCATATAAAATGATATATTTCAGATAAGTAGTGTTTTAGAATATATTTTTTAAAATGCTTAACTGAAGCACCATCAAAATGGCAGAATAACTGGTAAGGGATTTCTTTTTCTGATAAACACAGTAAAATTCCAACACAAAGCCTCAACAAATGAAAACATCAATATCTAAAACTGACATAGATATACAAAAATGAGGTAAGAAAAATATTCTAGTAAAATAAAGCAATTTTATAATACATCAAATCCCAGAAGAAGTTTCTAACTTATCTGTAAGGAAATGACTTCAAAAATCATGATCAAAATGTGAAGAATGGGAAATATCTATTAGTAAAGAAATGAGAAGAACAGTAGCAGTCATTGATCTAAGACAGGTTATATCATACCATAATGGTACAATTCAGAGTATTGCTTGCATACACTTTGACCCAGCTGTCCACTTCTAGGAATTGTTCTTCTAGATATACTTAAACATAGGTGCACAGATATATGCACAAGGGAATGTATACCCTTGTTGGAAACATGCATATCCTTTGCTTTGAAATAATGAAATGAGAAGTAATTTAAATGCCCACTAAAAAGGGACTGATGAAACAAATCATATTATATCCATAAATGAAATACTATGTAGTCATTAAATAGGAGGAAATACTATATATATTTATGTATAAAATTGAGTACTTTAAATTAAAAAGCAAGTTGCAGAGCATCACAAAAAGCACTATGCAGTTTGTTTAAAATTTTCTCTGTGTATATGCATGCATATATATGTGTATGTATATGCATGCATGTGTGAACTCCCATGTGTGTATATGCATGCATGTGTGAACTCCCATGTGGTAGGATATGAGTGGAAAAAGGGTTAGAAAGATGTATACCAGATTGTTATATCAGCTGACTGGGGATTTGGGGGAATGGTCAAAGGCCAGACATTTTCACATTTTACTTTACATATAGCTATATTATTTGAAGTTTTAAAAATTATTTTAAAAGTAGTAGTGAAGAATAATTTTGTTGCTCACTCTGAAAAATCCAGTTGGTAGGTGAGGCCAGCCCAAACTATACTTGGATTAAAATAAAGAAATAAAAATGACTGAATACAAGAATGGTGTATAATAATCTGTCTAGGGTTTAAAGGGAATTCCTGAATAGGTGGTTTCAAATCAGCAAAAGTCAGTACAATGAATATGGATTGTTTTGTCTCCTTAAACTCCTCCCTCTGTTCTCTGGGGCAGCTTCCCCCTCTGTTGGGAAATGCTTCTTTCGCCTTTGCAAACTTTTGGCTTAAAGAATATGTAATTTTCTTTCCAATTCGATGCTCCTGAC